TATATGGGTACGAAAAGTGCGGAATAGTTTCACACAGAGCTGAGATTCTTAAATTTGAACTATTTGAAAGAAGGATTGAGGTGCAGTTGGAAATTTGTACTTATGAGTACGAAAATCACTAAATTTGGAAAAATTTGGACTTTGGTGGAAGTAAGATTACTTTTAGAGTGTAGGATTGATGTAGTGTTAGAAATTCTTACCAATGAGTATGGGAATTACTAAATGGTACCAAATATGAAACAATTTGGATTTGGTTGAATCTTGAGATTTGGAACTTAGATTACTGTTGAAGTGTAGTATTGACCTATCGAGTCAACTTTGGAAACTCGAATTTATGTGTACCAATAGTAAATAGAATAGAAAATTCTCTAAAATTGGAATAATTTGAATTTGGGTAACGGAGAGAGCTGGAAACCTAAAATTTTGAATGTTGGTCATTGACAGAGAGTTAGAAAGAAGGACCAAAGGGTTTTTGGTACTAAATTTAGTGGATGTGACGGTATAGAGGTAGTCTTGAAAATGTATATAAGTTCTAAATGGAATAACATGTGGAACCTGTACGTTTTTGCTAAAGTGTGGATTTCGGAAAATAGTGCTTATGTGTATGAAGAGTACTTAATGGTAATAAACTTGATATTAAATGTAGGAATAGAGGTGGAATTCAGAACTATAGTACAACTAATTATACGGTATTCACGATTTCCATATGAAATATTTTTTTATTCCCTTTCCGCATACGAAGTAGCGGGTACTTTGCTAGTATTATTATAAAGCAATTTCGGCCTGTTGCTAATTTTCAAACAGTTGAATTTCTTATTTTTCCATGCGTTTTCTAGCTGAATTCCGAGAGGCAACGTTTATTATATCATCTCCACAATTAAGAAGGAATTGTAATTTTTGCGAAAATCAAAATAAATTTATAATGTTTATATACAGGATGCGAGAATGTATTACTGCCTTCAAAGGTACATTTTCCTTCATAGGCTCGTCTCCTTCGATAGAGGCATTTCTAATTAGATCAATTACTCTCAATTCCCTATCTGTTAATGGATTTTCCTTTATTGGCATATTCCCTGCAAGGGACCGCTGAAGTTTTCTATCCTTGCATTTTTGGATTGTACGACTATTCAGATCTCTTCACACCTTCAACAGAAATATTGTTACGTTCTTGGATTTTACTTAATCCCGTGTAGACGTTGTTTTATTTCCCGATACAGTTCGTATCAAATAAAACGCGGGTTCTTTCAGATTACGATTATTACAATGACTTTATTCACACAACTTTACTTTACACGACGGTTTCAATTCGCGATCTGATTCACAACTGACTAACTGCCTTTCCATTTCCCCTATTTATATGAGCCTCGCCTGTCGCTACAGAAGTTTCTAGACGATCTGGTAACACCTAGATTACGAACAATCTACAAATGCAACAAACACATACAACCTTACATTGAGTAAACAATAACAACAACACATATACTGGCGAGGGGGTAACAAAGAAAGAGGAATTAAGCGATCATCAATGATGACGTTTAACAAGAATTGTACGTCAATAACAAAATAGAAAATGAAAGAGGAAATGGAAGGATGTAGAAAAATCTATACAGGAGTTGTTGTTGTGAAGTTATTCGAATAAACTGCGTAGTAGAAATTTACGTTACAATTCAAATTCTTAAATTAACGGAATTCATCTAAATTTACTTAAATCTAAAGTTATATTCGTAACATTGCCCCCCGCTTAAGCCTGTTCGTCCCGAATAGGCACAGTTCCCGTTCCGTAGGGGGCCAGCCGCTCCAAATGTACAACTTTCATCTTCGACCTGGGACTGTCGCTCCTCTGGATGCGATAAACCACATCATTTATTTTCGTGACAATCTTGTAGGGTCCTTCCCAGTGCGTTTGCAATTTGGGGCATAGTCCTTTCTTTCGTTGTGGGTTGAACAATAGTACCAGTTGACCTCGTAATTCTCCGATTTATTGGCAATAGTTAGTCTCAGGGTAATCTTGCCGTGTACTGCTGCGGGCTCCCCCGTTGCTGTGCGCAGTCTGACTCCATTAAGTTGCGTTATTTTTCCCTTTACCAGATCTGATCTTATGATGGACTTTGATGCGCCAGTATCTAACGTCAGAACTCGCTTGTCACCATTGATGTACCCAGTTGTTGTTAGGTTGTGACTTTTCTGCTGTATTATTGCTATGGAGATTGTGGGGCCATCGTCGATGGGAGCCAGTTCATGCCCCGCTGGACTGGCTCGATTTAGTTTAACGGTGACTCATTGGTGGACTGTTGAGCCATTCTTCTACCATCTTTCGTTGGAGGTGGTGACGATGACCTGGATCGTTTGCGCTTAGCTCTGCATTCGCGCGCAATATGACCTGTTTTATCGCAGTTGTAGCATCTAACCCTGGGCTTAGTCATTCCAACTAACTTTGTTTCTTCTATTACCCGCCTCATAGCGCCTTCGATCGAGTTAACGAGAGATTTGGGATCGCAACCTTCGGTCTCCAGTTGGCGAATCTTGAGGGTCTGGGGCTTAACAATTATTCTTGCCGTCTCTTGGGCAAGGGCAAACGACACGGTTTCGGCAAATGACGCTTTTGGTGACGCATATGTTGCACATTTAATCTCAGGGTCACGTATGCCATTCACAAAGGTTTCGATTTTAATACGGTCCACCAATGGGTGATTCTCTCCTGGATACGCCATTAGCACCAAACGTTCCACCTCAGCTGCAAAGTCTTGCAACGTCTCGTTTGCCCTCTGCACTCTTCCCCTTAGTTCCATAAGGTAGATGTTTTGTTTATGTTCGCCACCGTACTTACGTTCCAGTGCAGCAATAACATCTTCATAGTTGTTCCTAGAAGCGACAGGAATACTCTGTATAACATCAGCAGCACTGCCCTTCAATGCCAGAAGTAGTGCAAGCCACTGTCTCGAACTGTAACTTGAAAACATTGAATGACGTAAAGCCGTCGAATACAGGAGGTTTGATTTTTAGTGCGTTATCAGGAACTCGCACCGGACCACCTTTAATTTCCAGTTCCGACATTTTCTTCTCCAGATTCGTAAACCTGTGGTCGTGGGCCAGAAATTTCTCATCCACAGACAGAATCTTCTCGTCGACCGACTGCACTTTCTTATCCAACTCTTTAATTTGGACCTCCACGGTTTCCACTCTCCTTCCAATAACTTCTGTAATTTTCTCGAGTTTTTCGTTCATTATTCTCGAATTTTCGTCAAACATTCTACAATTCTCCGCCTTGAGTTCATCTAACTTTCTGGAATTCTCTTCGAACATTCGTCTCGAGTTTTCTTCTGACTTTCTGGAATTCTCTTCGAACATTCGTCTCGTGTTTCTGGAATTCTCTTCGAACATTTTAGCCAGCATTTCTCTGAAATCGTCACCCCTAGCTGCTACTGACGAGACTTCCCCACCGTTGGATTCGCCCATTTCCGATAAATCCACTTCATCCTTACTGTCAAACTCATATGTATCGATGTTCATACCACGGCGCTCGAACTCATCCAACAGACGTTTTTGGAGTTCAGCCTTGTTGCCAGTAGAGGACAATTCCAATTTATTCAGCTCCTTCTTCAAGTCTTCCACTCGTAGATCCTTAAACTTCATCGTAGTACTATCGTAATCTCACTTCCGACACCAATTGTTACGTTCTTGGATTTTACTTAATCCCGTGTAGACGTTGTTTTATTTCCCGATACAGTTCGTATCAAATAAAACGCGGGTTCTTTCAGATTACGATTATTTCAATGACTTTATTCACACAACTTTACTTTACACGACGGTTTCAATTCGCGATCTGATTCACAACTGACTAACTGCCTTTCCATTTCCCCTATTTATATGAGCCTCGCCTGTCGCTACAGAAGTTTCTAGACGATCTGGTAACACCTAGATTACGAACAATCTACAAATGCAACAAACACATACAACCTTACATTGAGTAAACAATAACAACAACACATATACAGGCGAGGGGGTAACAAAGAAAGAGGAATTAAGCGATCATCAATGATGACGTTTAACAAGAATTGTACGTCAATAACAAAATAGAAAATGAAAGAGGAAATGGAAGGATGTAGAAAAATCTATACAGTAGTTGTTGTTGTAAAGTTATTCGAATAAACTGCGTAGTAGAAATTTACGTTACAATTCAAATTCTTAAATTAACGGAATTCATCTAAATTTACTTAAATCTAAAGTTATATTCGTAACAATATATTTGTAATATATTTCAAAAATACTAAAATTATATTACTACAGTGTGCAATTGATCAACAGTGCACCTCCAATTACAATTAGAAAGCTAATTCATTCCACTTTTTGTTCAATTCAAACTTTCCATGCATTTTCGCAAATTTCCAATTTTATTATTTCTTGTCGCAGAAATCGACGTGACGTGTTTTAAAATTTTGAAATAATTGGAATCATATGTCTGCATGAGACTACCTTGTATAATTATGCCATGGGATTGATTTAAATAGGTTCATATATAAATATATATCAAATATTTAATTTCGTCTCATTTCATGTCAAAGGTTTTCATGTATTATTACTATAAATGTTGACATTCATATTGGTTCCTTTATCTATTTTCTTTTACTACCCTTACATTTAGAAAATTCACTTAGTTACACGTCATACCTTTGATTTTATTTACAAGCTATCATTTACTTATCTCAAAACACTGTTTCTCATTCATTCACAATGACACCATGACGTGATTGTGAATGACCTATATTCTTAACAGCTGTTATTCCTCTGTTGCCATGGTCTTCTCATTCGTAACAGCGATTTTGCTATTTTTGTCCCATTCCCATCATTCGTGTGTCGAATTGTTTTGAATTTAGTGCGTCAACCAATTGAAAGAATTCAATGCGATTTTCCGAAAATCTCCAGTGAATTTAGATCAAAATTATAGAATATTCGCAAATGTTACGTACAAATATATAATATAGATGTGAAATTCGATTATAATGGCATCGAAAAAGTTAAGATTTCGTGGCGATGCAACGGCAGCTACAAATCGCATCGATGACATCGTTGATGAGGGTGATGTACTGCAGGATGTGGATGCGACGGAGGTGGTGGATGGCATACATAAACGTTCTAGTGGGAGTACTGGCAAAGACAACAGTGATATAAAATCAACCAAAGAGAAAAAGGCAGAGGAGGAAGAGGGTAAGTTCGTACGACAAAGAAACCTGTTAGAGTTTTCTTGTGTACTTGGCTCAGTCGGCCAATGTTTGTTGGTATGTCTGTCTGTCGGCCGGCTGCTGTGTGCATGGCATAGATTTTCACAAGAAAAACAAATTATTTGTCGGCTCTCTATTTTTGTTTTTCTTACCACACCCAGAATATCCTTCATTTATGGATTTTTTCAAATTGGAAATGACCCGTGGCTATCTACTGGAACACGATGAGGAACGTTATACGGCACGACGTAAAAAGATCTACTCCTTTATGCGTATACCCCGTGATTTGGAACGTTTCATGGTGTATGGCATAATGCAGTGTGCCGATTCATTTTTATATATTCACACTTTCCTGCCGGTACGATTTACATTGGCGGTGTGGGGTATGTTAACACGGCCCATCGCCAGTTGTTTGGGTTTACGAAGAAGAAAACAACGCCTGCTGACACCTGCCGAAATATGTGATTTACTGAAAGGATCAATATGGATTGTGGTGACACTACTGATGCTGTCCGTCGATACAAATCGCGTGTACCACATTATAAAAAGTCAATCGATAATAAAATTGTATTTATTCTACAATATGTTGGAGGTTGGAGATCGCTTACTATCGGCCTTTGGTCAGGATACAATAGATGCTTTGTTTTGGACAGCAACCGAACCGAAAAATTCCAAACGGGAACATTTTGGACTTATTACGCATATTTTATTTGCGTTAATATATGTGGTGCTGCATAGCTTTTTGATTATGTTTCAGGTGAGTGCATAATTTTGAGATACATTTAATTATTTTATTTTTTTAGAATGAACCTTTTCATACGTTCATTGGACTTCTTCGTTAAAATAATTACAGTTTTTTGTAATGAGGATTACGTCCGCTTTAAAGCGATATCCATATAGTCTTATATAATATGTCCGACACTATTTAACATTTACCTTTTTGGATTTCCACGCATAAAGATATCGATGTACGTGGATGAACTATCACATGTAAATAATAGAGTTTTCCACATGTGGAATATGAAATGGTTCTGAGTAGCGAGCAGTACTTGGGCAGCTCAAAAAGTAACCTTGTCATCCTATAGGCCGGTCAGTGGTAAACTACGCGGATCAAGTGCGGTCCGTTAACGTAAGTGCAACACAATGCAAATACATTCAATAATGCCAGAATTTCGACATGAAGACTGCAACAGGCATTCTCCTCATGAATCCAATAGACTACTTGCATGGGGATACAAGGATTCTTCCTGTGTCTCAAACAAACAACATGTTTTGACGCAATATCTGTGTTACAAAAGCACCCATCCGAAACACAACCTTATTTTTGGTGCATTCAGAGGCAGTCACTGCTCCTTCCATATTCTTTCTGGCAACCAAGGCTGCTTTAAATTCAGACCATATTTCCATCCTAATCACTGTAGAGAAACCCAACGATTTCGTGGAGCCCGATCAGTGTACAATCATGAATTATAATAAAGTCAACTTACCCGGCTTCACAAAATTCATTGAGGACTTCTTAAGTCCTATGCCGCCACCTGTATGTGCCAGATAGGCTGAGAAGATATTCCGTGAAATTATTTTAAAAGCGACAAAACGTTTCATTCTCGTGCGGAGAAATCCTCTAATGAGACCAAACTATCTATGCAAGACCTTCAGATTGGCACAGCAACACGACCAACTTTTCGCCGAACGACATAGGGGTCTACGATCCGAAACGACTCGAGTCTTACTCGGCCAACGTATGTCACCTCAGCCCGTTGTGTAAAAGCAATAGGGCTGCTACAACAACAACTTCGCGACAAAAGCCCCGCTGACAACAGAATCCGGCCGTTTCCACGACAGAGGGGTCTACAATCCGAAACGACGCGATCTTTACTCGGCCAACATTTTCCACCTAAGCCCATTATGTAAAATTAATAGGGTTACAACAACAATAATAGAATCTGACCGTTTCCACGACAGAGGGGTCTACGATCCGAAACAACCGGAGTTATATTCGGCCAACGTCTGTCACCTCAGCCCATTGTGTAGAAGCAATAGGTCTGCTACAACAACAGAATCTGACAGCTAAGCGCTAAAATAGATGATTTAGTCCTTGAGCATACCTTAACCATTGCCATATAAATTCCAAGCAGCTATGGTCTATTTTGTTCCAAAATAAATAAAAATCTCCCTGATATTTCCTTTAATTTCTTTCAACATTCTGATGCCAAAAAAGTGCACTGCAATTCTGCCGCCAATTCATTGAGCAATCATCTTCGCAGAACGGGATCAAGCGAGCAGTTATCCGAAGATCCAGAAACCTTAAAAGAGGCTTGCAGCCCCCATCAATCACATCCCGCGAGGTAGAGGCAATTATCTACAAATCCAAGCCATCCAAAGACCTTGGTCCAGACGACATATACATGTTCATGCTAAAGAAGCTCGAGTTATCGATGTGACAGTTCGTAATTCCTGATATTTGGACATTTGACCGGATTATTACAATTCTAAAAACAGATAAATCCGATACTAATGGGTAATCATACCGCCCAATTTATCTTCATTCACCAGTAGCCAAGGTTTTAGAGTCTTTATTGCTTCCGTCTCTGAATCAGTAATTCGTTCTTGCTACCCACCAAAATGGTTTCAGGGAAACATATGGAACAAAAAGGGCTTGCAAAAAATTACTTTCCAGATTACGAATGACCTCAATCAACGACGACCACCAGAACGGACCATTAGGACAGCCTTAGATCTGTCCAAGGCGTTAGATACGGTCGATCATTCCTAGCTGATATCCGGCCACATTATTAATAGGCGTCCGCCGCCCAGGCATCTCAGAAATGCTGAAAGGGATAGAGAATAGAGGAATTCATTATTTTTTGTTATTTATAATAATTTCCACTTTGTTTCGCTAAGGAAGGAAGTCCAGGCTGGGACTGCATAATGGAGGATGGAACGATAGATCGCAAGAATGATGAACACTCTGAATCCTTGCCGGTTCACACTCCTAAAGTTAAGGAATTTGTGGAATTTAGGGGTGATTAAACCAGGCGGTGCACTGAAGGGGACTATTATGGGCAGGTGGTCTGGTGCTAAAAAGATTATATCTGGTTATATCTATTCCTGAAACTACCGCTTTATTATGGGCGAATCTTCTCAACGATGATCTATAAAAATATTGTTTTTTATAGTAAAAGTTCTCGGAAATACATTTTAAATCCGACCCCAGTCTTAATTAATTTTTTTCTCTTTTCTTTCAGGCCACCACACTCAACGTTGCCGTCAATTCAAATAATAAAGGCCTATTAACCATAATGATATCCAACAACTTCGTTGAGCTCAAAGGATCGGTATTTAAGAAATTCGATAAAAATAATCTCTTCCAACTGACATGCAGTGATGTACGTGAACGTTTCCATCTCTCCGTCCTACTGTTCATTGTTATGATACAAACAATGAAGGAATTCGATTGGAGTATAACACAATTCTGTGTAATGCTGCCAGATTGTTTTTCCGTATTAATAACGGAAATTCTAATCGATTGGATTAAGCATGCCTTTATTACGAGGTTTAATGAATTACCTGAATGCATTTATCGCGAGTATACAACAAGTTTGGCCTATGATATGACTCAGACACGACAGAAACATGCATTTTCAGATCATTCAGATTTAGTGGCCAGACGTATGGGTTTTATACCATTTCCCCTGGCAGTGGTGTTGATTAAGGCCATCTATTCTGCGGTTTCGTTTAATAATTTGGCAGCATGGATTTTATTTTCATTGGCATATTTGTTTGCTTTGGGTATGCGGATTGCTTTGACAATTTGTGCCTTGGGTAAGGCATGTAAACTGATGAAGGAACATCAGGATGAAAAGTGTAATACATCGACGCCAAGTTCCATGACAAATGTACCACCGGTGGGTACAGGAACAGCAAAACCGGGTTCGGCAAGTTTGGTGGGCTCATCAGTGCTGGCATCATCTTCCCCAATTCTAAATCGACATCGCACAGATGTGGCTACATCTCCAACACATCCTTCATCGCATAATAATAGTAGTGGTGGTGCAGGGGGAGGAGGAGGTGGCAGTGGAGGTAGACCAGTTGAAGGCAATACCTCTGGAAATAGTTTTAATTTCCCTCTACAAAGATCCATAACGACTGATTTATCATCCACTATGTCTTCAGCCACCTCCACACCAAAACAGAATAGTAGTAAAAATAATTCCAATAATGCGACAGCCTGTAACAGTGCTCCCAGTGTGTTAAATAAAGCCACCGCCATTACAACATCACCCACCACATCAAAAGGTGCAATACTAAACATAACACACAATGACATAGAATTAGATGTAAAAAGTTCACTGGAATTGGGTGCAACAGCTTTATTTTCCAACAGTGACGTGGATTTGGATGATGTTTGTCTGAATGAACATGTCCTCGATACAAATACTTCTTCAACTACAACTGGGTTTGTAGAAGAGGCTTTGGCCCGCAGTGAACCAGATCTACAACAGTCGTCAAGTGTCAATACCACACCGACCTCGAGTAATCCAACGGCAAAGGTCACAAATACCCAACAGATTAGAAGGCGTACCCATAAACGTTCAGAATCGGAACCAAGTATGCAGAGCATAGTTGGTTCATCGGATTCCAGTGAATCATCTGCAGCACATCAGGCGTAGTTGTAACGATCTTTAGACTGCGATCGTGATTTTTGGCAAACAAAAGACAAAAAGTATTTGCATGCATGTTATTAACTATGGAAAGAAAAGACATGGCAACCTAATGCTTGTTTTGGTTGGCCTTTGCTCATTGGAGACTTAGTGTTAAAAAATTTAAAAAGAAAGTGTTTTTTTATTCAATACAATGTTTCTTATCGTATATTTGTTTATAAAATATAAGTTATTTCATTATTTCTTTGTTGAAATTCCTGATTTTAAATCGATCCACCAAATTTTGTTTTGTTTTTTTTATTTCATTATCATAACATTTCTGTTAGGGCAGGTATGGAGGTTTTGTGCCGCAAATTACACGCTATTATCTCCAAAACTCGTGAGCTTGTGCAGTTTATTTATTAAACCGATCTAATTTTGTTCCTTGGAGTTTTGTTAATATTATTTATGTGTTTTTTTATATTTTTAGATATAAGGTATTATTTAATTTAGCTCACATTTATGAATTAAATCGCATTGCCTTATAAGAAATACCTTGATTGCGTATAAATAAAAGAAATAATAAATAAATTAAAAGAAGAACTATAATGAAGATTCTTCCTTTCTCTTGTAAACAATGGAAAGGTTATTAGATCTTGAGATCAGGAAATAAATTAACTTTGATAAAATTAGCAAATCCCAGCGCGCCTACATCAAAGGCTATTCTTCTGCTTTACTTGAGAGAAATTTGGCAACTTTTCTCGATATAAGGGGAGATTTTAACAACATAAAGTTTATCCACATAGCTTCCATTAACACGGGAATAAGAAGAGCTCCATAAGGAGATTTGTTAACAGAGAGACTCCCAAAGGCGGGTTGCTGTTGCCCTAGCTTTGCCTTAGGTTAGGTTTGGGGATGTGCAGTCACTTATGTGACTGCAGCACTCTGAAACCGGTTAGGTCCGTTGTGATCATCTACAAGAAGAGATATACAGCCTTATTCTGGATGTCAATTCCATGTGAATTTACTCGCTCTTCCCCTTCGGCTTATTCTGAACAACATTCTCGCTTTCGCCTTATTCTGAATGAAGTTCGAAAGCGAAAAAATCCGCTTTGTGGAAAAATTAGGTATTCTGAATTACAGGGAGTAGGAGAATGAGATGAAATTTTGTGCGAAATTTTTCGCTAATAAATTTAAAGGGAGTTGACTACAAAAACATAAGTAATAACTATTTTTATGTAAAATATTTACACAATACTTATTCTATGATGATTTAGAATATTATAAATGATAGTAAGCTAATTTTTAACTGGAAAACAACCAATAAAATGCCATTGGAAATCCTATTGATAACGATGCATGCTGAACCAAGTATTGCCAAGGAATGTATGAAGGTAATAAGGAATATTTAAGTCGAGTTTGATGCATTTTGGAGGCTAAATACAGACATTTTGAGTGAGGATCTGTCTCTCAAGAAAAAAAATAAAAATTATGGAAAAACCAAATTTGCCTGATGAGCTGCTTAACAGTGAAAAACTTAAAAAAAAAATTTTTTTTTGTTTCAAAATTTGATGATTTGATGGGAGAAATAAAGGAGTAGGAGCATGTCATAACATAACAGGCCACTTTAAGAATCTGGGGAAATAAATATGGAAATTAAATAAAAAGGCGGGAGAAGGATTAAAGGAGAGTTGAGAGTCATACATAATTTAAATGAAGGAATGAATGAAGATCGATGGCTATAGGAGTCAGACAGAAGGTTTGTTACATGTCAAGGTTGTAAGTTCCTAACCACTTTATATTTCTAATCATGCCGTAGATTAGAGCAGGTTCGGTTGTTGAGAAGAAGCTAAGACTCGGTAGAAAATGAGCACCCTGTGTCGCCTGTAAGCCACGGCTGGGCAATGACACAGGAGATGCTCAATTGTCTTTGTTTCCTCCTCGTCAACGCAGAGTCTGCAGTAATCAATTGCATCGAGATCCCATTTGCTAGTTTTACTGATGTTGCAATGACCAGTAATGACTCCTGTCATCATTCTAATTTGAGCTTTGCTCAGGTTCAACAGTGAGTGCGTTCTTTTGGTAGACAGAGTCGGCCAAATGGATCTTGACACGTTGCACCTAGGTTCGTTGTGCCAAAGTTCACAGGCTCTTTCGTCTAAGAAAGCCTCAAATTTCCGATAAAAAAGACATATGGGTGGTTTGATTGAGTTATCGGTTTCTAGATCAGTGGATTGTGATCCTCGTCTAGCTAGTTCGTCCGCTCTTTCATTTCCCAAGATGTCACAATGTCCTGGTACCCAACACAACCGATAGCTATAGGTAAGTTCTTCCAGAGCTGATCTGCACTTGAGGATTTGATGGCTTTAAGAGCCGCTTGACTATCCACAAAGATAGTCACCGGTTCAACGACCTCTGCATCCAGACTTTTTATCAATTCCACTGCCTTCCAGATAGCGAAGATTTCTGCTTAGACAACACTACAGTTGCAATCCAGCTTGTAGGTTAACTCAAGGCCTAACCTTTCACAGTAGACGCCTGCTCCAGTACCTTCTTCCATCTTGGATCCGTCTGTATAGAAGGCCAGACCGGCCAGAGGAGGGTTACTTCGTTTCCAGTCGTCTCTACTAGGAATGACGACATCTACATCGTCGAATCTCAGGATTGGAGATATGTAGTCGCTTTGTTTAGCGCGTTGGTCCAATGCCATACCAGGTTGGCTAAAGTTTTTTTTTCACAGCTGAGCAAATCATGTCGGCAGCTCTGCTCGCCGTTCTTTTAATTAGTGCCGGCGTTGTACAAAACCCAGGTCCTAATGTTTGGTTTTGGTTTAAGTGTCATCTACTGCGTCGCTGCTAATTACACCTCAGTACGATCGAATGTTTGCAATTGGTGCCACTTGAGGTGCCCATGTCTCACCTCAAAATACGAAGGTAGCATAGTTTTATTGCCAGCTGTTGTCTGCAGTCTACAACATCCAGCTCCTTGGCAACACCCCGAGAAATTCGATGGTCTCTTAGGAATCTGCACAGAACTCCAACTTCAACTGTTCGGTTTGTGGGGAGATCATACGGAGCAACGTAACATCTGTAAGGTGCAACAGTTGCAGTAATGTAACAGACTGGTTCATGCGAGAATGGTACATTGGTGTTTGGCTGCGGCTTAGCTCGCCGAATGGGTAGGTTCTTCTCTCGCTGGACTGCACATATAAAATTTCGTTGTACCATGCTTAATTTTTTTTAACGGAAATTTAAAATTTAAAAATGATCGAGAAAAAGCAAATTAAAGTAAATCAGATGCATTTAAATATAAACCACATTTTCATAATTCAATTCAAAATGAACACAGTTCAGATTTCCATTCTTGTGAGGTTTGGATGTTGATCCTCAATGGCTTTGCCCACCCCATATGACTTATTCAGTCATCCATGGTATTTTCATGCCATTTATATAATTTTGAAAATACCCCATATACACTTTTCTACCACTATCTAAGAAATATTCAACCCATTATTGAATATAAAATCAACACATTTTATTAAATTTATATTATGTTCAAAAATTAATCATTACTTTTAAATTGTGCTTCATTTTTATTCATTTAATTTTATGTTATAATTATGTTATTAACCAAATTTTTTTTTATCAGTAATATATTATTTAATAATATACATATTTTTTAAACATCAATAAACTTATTAGTATTAGTATTAAATTTACATTATTTATCTTATATATATGTTTTTGATTTCTTATTTATGATAATAATTCATTCGTAACTCTCATATATTAATAGTAGTCTTTAAGATTTATGTTGAAGTATTATTAATTTTATAAATATTACTATATTAAGTAGATTTTTTTTAAATTTGTAATATTATCAATCGCATTTTTTTATTTTTTAAAAATTTCCATAAATTATTTCATGATTATATCAAATATTTCATGAATACCCTTAATGTTGTATAACAGTAAGGAGAAATCAAACGCCTCAAACTATACTTTGAAAATTAATGTTCTTCCAATGTAAAATTCTTTTAGATTTTGCCACGTGTATGGCAATGTTCTTAAAATTTGCTCAATGCCAATTGTATAAAAAATAGGTTAGGCAACTTTTCTGAAGATTTTGGTTTTCGTACTCACTTTTTTTGTTTTTGAGATTTAGAAAATACTGGGTGACCTTACTTTTCTATCATTTGGTTACCATGTAATTACTCGGGATATCGGTGCCTCCATCTCTATCTCATGGTTGCAGTTATTACTGCAAATGCAAATATTGATGTCGCCTTGATGTGGTACTGTGATCTTTGCCACGATATCCTAGTAAGACAAAGTTATTTGATTTGTAAAAAAAAATTATATACCTAATATCACTAAACAAAAATCTAAAAGTAATAAATTTTTTTTTGATAAAACTGCTTACCCGAGATTGCAATATTTTCATTGGTCGTTATATATAAATTTTTATTAGTCAGTGTGATTTTATTGCCCAAATTTAACACTAAAAATAAATGTTGTCAGTATTACACAACTGATATAAAAAAAAATAAAAATGTTGGACTTCACCTTTACTTCTAACTTCTCTGTTCGAATACGAAAAACTGAATATCCAAGGTGACTTTGAAATGGTAAAAACTCACATGTTGGAGTTTTTCCTTAGTTCTAAAAGGGTAACATTTTCCAACTGTGTTGGATCCTGTCTTACTTTAATGTCCAGTATCACATGTAGGGGGCAGAATTTATAGCATATTCAGAGGCCTTGTTTTATGATATTATGCATATATAAATAACAACAATTGGTTCCAATTATTCATATATAAAAAAAAACAATCGATTAATCGTGGATGTTGGAACCAATCTATAAATAACAGATTTGATTATTTTATAAAACGATCATTCATTACATCGAAGTTTTTCCTTTGTACTGAAAATCGTACAACTTCCTATCGAACCATTATGTGTAATAACGCCATCCTGAAATAAAGGTTCATTAATCGACCACAGAATCCCTGACGCTGTTTATTTACATTTGTAGCTGCGG